TTGCTGTGCATAAAGTGGCCTGCTTAATACTATGAAATTATGGAAGTTATTAATGATGGGAATTAATACTAGGAAATTAAGGACAGGTACCCCAGCCATCGGCAGGTGCCCCCCCACCCTGGGGGTAGTCTGAGAAGAAGGGACTCAGGTCTGGGCAGCTGATCCCTGTGGTCACAGTCCAGACAGACCCAGCGCCAAGGTGGCCAGAGTCACGTCCGGTGGACCTCTCTTCTAGCTCCTTGAAATCTTGGGGATGTGTGGGATCCGGCCAGGGAGGAGCCCAGCTCAGCTCACACCTCCAGGGTTCCACTTCAGCAGAGGGAATAACAGCCTCCCAGAGACGCCCAAGTCCTAATCCTCGGAATTTGTAGATATTGGATATGTCACCTATGTGGCAAAAGAGACTCTGCAGATTAAGAGATTAAGGGATTAAGTTAGGATTTTGAGATGGGAGGTCATCCTGGAACCGGGAGGCCCAGTGTCAGCACAGGGTCCTCCCGTGAGGGGGCAGGAGGGTCGGGAGGCAGAGAGACTGGAAGACGCTGCGCTGCTGGCTCTGAGGGGGGAGGAAGGGCCCCGAGCCGAGGGACGCAGGTGGCCGCTAGACGCTGGGAAAGGCGGGAGACGGGTTCTCCCCTGGAGCCCCCAGCAGGGACTGGCTCTAATGACATCTTGATGTCAGTCCAGTGAGGCCCATTTGGACCTCTGTGCTCAGAACTGTCAGATGATAACTGTGTGTGGTGAGCCATTCTAAGTTGGTGATCATTTGTCACAGCCAATACAGGAGACCCCGATCACCACCAGTGCTCCGTGTCAGTATCCGGGAGCTCTAACCAGAGCTCTGGGGGTTCGGGGACAGCCCCTCCACCCGACAGGCCTGCCCACCAGAGAGCTGTTCTCCCAGACCCCTCACTGGGCAACACTTGTTGCTGGGACAGGTCTTGGAGGACAATGACCTCATCGAACAAAGTCTTTCCAAGAGGCCTGTGGGAGACCAGAAAGCCCAATGCTTCTCGCCAGGAACTGCTGCATTTTGCCTTGAAGACGCTGTTATTTCTGCAACCAGTGGCGTTTCCCTCTCAGACTGAATGTTTAAAGAAGCCCAACACGGGCTGGGCGCGGTGGCTCATGCCCGTAATCCCAGCACTCTGGGAGGCAGAGGCGGGAGGATGACTTGAGTCCAGGAGTTTGAGACCAGCTTGGGCAACATAGAGAGACGCCATCTCTACAAAAAATAGAAAAATTAGCTGGGTGTGGTGGCACCTGTAGTCCATAAA